GAATGGCTGTGGGACGTGAAAGCGGGTCACTCGCGCGCTTCTCCGGGGGCTGAACGCTGGCGCTCGGCGCACACGCAGCGCGCTGACAGCGACGCGCAAACTGCAAGCTCGGCTTTTGGAGGCTTTTGATTAAGAAAGACCCTGTGTGACTCAGCGGGAGGCTGGAGCACAGCGTTTGCATGTCGGGCCTTTCCCAGCAGCTGGCTTCTCTGCCCTCATCCACCTTCTCTCTTCTGGGCTTGCTTTTTCCCCAGATCCCAAATCCTGGGGCTTCCCCCTCGTGTGCCGCCTGTTCTCCCCATGTGGGTCCGTCGGCGCTGGGAATCGGGACGGCTGGGGTGATGCAAAGCGCAGCGCCTGCACCCAGCAGCCCTCTGAGTGCCTCCAGCCGCACGTAGGACGGGAGCGGGAGAGTCCCGGCTCCCAGCTCGGCGTGCAGACTCAGCACCACGTCTTGCCCAAGACCTTGCATAAAACACGACAGCTCTTATGAGACAGTTTGGCCCCGAGCAGAGCAGCCGCAGACCACCGCCGGAGCGAGTCTAGGATGTGAGCGGGGTCTGGCGTAGCAGGGACTGCAGCTAGGCGGGGGATTAAAACTGCATTTTCCTGCATCTCCCGGCTTTGTGGCCAGGATTTGGAGACAAGGAGGAGCTCAGGGGGGGAAGGAGGGTGAAGCCACCTGCTTTAACCAGGTAGTTTCACAATGAAAGACTCCAGTGACATTTCCAATACCAAAATTCCCATCTGCTGTCGCAGCCTCAGCTCTTCTCCTGAGAGCCCAGGGACCTCCCCGGCTGTTCCTGGCTGAAACATTTTGGCTGAAGGTCTGGAAGCCGATCGAACCGTACTGCAGCTGGAACTCCACCCTTGCCCGGTGGACTTGTCCCAGTTGTCTTTGAGCCCTGGAGTTGCTGTAAGGGGATGGAAGAGTTGAGCATAAAAAATGTGACTTTTATGATGTCTTTTTTCATGGCTTTGAGAGATTCGGTGGCTTAAAAGGGTATTGCCAGGTCAAGCGGGAGTTATGCGGGAGCCATCACAGCTTTTGTGGCTGTTTGGCTTTTTTATTTTAATACCCGGGCGGTATCGGCAGCCCCAGCCCTGCCGCCGTGGAGAAAATGGAAATGGGAGGTGATGGAAACCTCTCGGCTCAGGGAACCTCTGCCATGTCCCAGCCGAGAAACGCTGAGATCTGAAAGAGCTCCAGCCTGGGACGTGCAGCGGTTGTCACCAAAGGGATTGTCACAGCCTGGGTTTGGGAAGCGGGGGCAGAACTGGGACCTGCAGCTCGGTGCAGACGATGCTCGCTGCTCCTGGCCAGGGCTCAGCAGAAAGTGTCCCTGCAGCGGGCAGGGGACATGCGGCGTGAGACTCAGCCGTCTGCTGCACCCACACGTCCCCACGCTGGGAGGGGACAGCCTCGGCGAGGCTGAGGGAGGTGACACTCTGGCTCCTGTCGCTCCTGTTGAGCAACGGGGCCGGGGCCAGGAGCCAGGATTAGTCACCCCAGCCCAGAGTTACCCCCCTGGGGGGAACAGGCTTTCTGCAGAGCTGGTCCTACCTGCCGCAGCCTCTCCACCCCGACCACGCATGGGACCTCCTGGGCAAGGCTGAACACGGGAGGTCACATTTTTTTGGGATAGAGAGGTTTGGGCTTTGGCTGCAGGCACTGAGCCGGGCTTTGCTGGGTCCCCCCCATCCCAGCCCTGCCTCACGGCCAGACCACTGCTTGCGCATCCCACCCGGCAAAGTGTCACCAGGGATGCAGCAGCACCCAGAACTGGGGTACCCCCCCCCACCAGACCCCGAAACACGGTGCCTGGGTCAGTCCGGTGCAGGGTGGGCACTGGGGTGATGCCGAGTGTTTTTGGCAGCCCCCAGCCCTCGCAGCGTGGGTCAGGGCTGGGGGATGAACGAGACTGTGGGTTAAAATCCAGAGGATGGGGCCAGCGTCACCCCAGGAGCATCTGCCCCAGTAAAGTTTCGGGGTGTCCCCCATCTCAGGGCTCCTGCTCGAAGACTGCGAGCTTCCCCATCTCTGCTGCTCTCTGCGGGGGTGTCAAAAGCCTCCCCAAAAACTAAACCCCCCCCCAGGGCAATCCTGGCAGC